GCCGGGATGATGAGAGGGTGGCTGAATACTGGATGTGGAGAAGCGTGTCTTCCGAACACAGGCTGGATCAGAGAAAGAGAATATGGATAATGCACTACCTGGGGTCAACAGAGGTCTTCCCTGTGTGTATAAATTTTAAGTATGAACAGCACTGCTTTTGAATTGTAACTATAGGGCTGGGCATCTGTCGATCGCTACCATTTACAGTCTGATGATAGCTGAATGCACACTTTGAAATGTGTAAGTATTGGTGACAGTTTTATGTATTTACACTCAGAAGTGATCATTTGATGTCACGAGTCTGATGTTTAGTTCTAATTAATGGAAAAATCTGGAAATCTATGTTAGATGCAGCTAATTGATGCATTTTTATTTGGTCATCTGTGAAAGCCAGTTTCAAATTGCTCACATTACCCCAATGCACACTTTTATGTTACCCATCTGCCCATGTTCATTTCATTTCCAGTCCACTGCAAAACCACACAAGTTACCTGATGTGTTTAGTTCTCTGTTGACCTCTTTTATAAGGCCAATCATTCACTTTCGGTTTTCTATATTTTCTGCATTTTGTGGTGGACCTAAGCTCCTGTTCCCCCTTTTCATCACTATTTGGTCTCAATTATTGTCAGTCACTCACTCACGACCATGTGTTTATTACCTTATTTGTTAGTCTGATCAACAAATATAAAAACATGTAAGCACTGTTTGACAAACTCAACTTAAAGTCCATTTAATGGGTGTTTTCCAGAGCTTTCAACCACAGAAATCGACCCATGTGCACACCGGTTACAGTTTAAAGTCCCACACCAGCCTACAAACCTTCAATCTGAGACTGACTGCTGTCAGTCCCGAGTGGGATCACGATTGTTCAGAGATGGATCGCCTCCAAACAGCACTAACCATGGCTCGGTTACAATTGTGAGCCTCACATTAAGGTCCTGCATTTAAATCCAGGCTGGGGCCTCTTAATACAAATCTTCTAGCAAACAGCAATTCTCCCCCCCCCCCCGTTGCAAAGAATTTGGATCCTGTGAGTGAGCCCTAATAATCTCACACTATTCCACTGATGCTCAGGTGGCAGAATTGCAAAAATAGCAAAAGTCAGGAAAGAAGATTATAACATGGATGCAAGAAAAAAAAAGAAAAAAAAAAAGCTTTGATTTTCAGTTCAAACTGGGCATCAGCGGGAGCTCTTCTGATTTAAGGTGAAACAGCCGAGTGGAAATGTTCCACTTCAAAGGATTTACCACCTGATATGATCTCGACTCTGTTCAATACACACTGTTAAATACTAACAGACAGTCTTTTGTTGTACTTAAGACTGTTTATGATAATCATCAGCACAGCTCCACAACTGTTTCATTACTGCAGAACTACTTCCTGTGTTGGACGCGTTATCAGACGCCCCTTCCTGTGCTCTCTCCATCACCCTGACAGCCTCCCGTGTGTGTTGCAGAAATACTGCATGTGTCTGTGTCCATTGTGAGGCTAAATAATAAGAAGGCACTTAAGCAAAAGGTATGTGTTGACACAGCAACTTCACTTTAATGAAGCGACTTTGAGAATTTTATATGATATAGCCCACAGAAAGAAAAGCAGTAGGTCTTTGTCTGAGTGGAGGAATTTATCAATAAAATACCACAGCGCTCTTACACTGTACCCCGTGAGGGTGTAATACTCATTATACAACAGAAAGCTACGAGTAAAAACTTGTTGGACTGATGAAAAGCAGAACCAGCATTTTTACATTCTTACCACTAACTGCAGAAAATCTCTGTGGCCATTTTTGAAACAGTGTTTTCCAATCCCATGCAAAGCAGACCTACTCCAGGCCACAGGTGGGACCCCAATTGGCCACCCCTACCAACATCATTGTACTAGAGTACAGTCTTGCAATGGCCAACAACACTGGATGAGAGCACGGACAGGACCAGCAGCAACATAACTTCATGCATTTACTGACGTGTAATGCAACTTTCTGCTTCTACTCCACTAAATATTATATTTTATACTCTACACCGTTACTTTAAAGCTTTAAAAAGTCAGCTTTTACAGTCATTCATTTACAGATATGTTGCATTATTACATAAAAAGCAAAGTAGAAACAGAATTTTCTATAATTGCTATTTGATTTTCAAAGTGCATGTATTCTCATTATACATCTTCTGGATTTATAAGCTACTGAAGTAAGTAAACATTCAAATGTACCTAAGTAAAAAATCTGAATAATCTTTATTTACCACTTTGCAAACTGGTGAATGTATCACAGCATTGTGTTTAAACAGTTTTTCAAGCAATGAACAAACAACAGGATGCACAACAAGATCTGTTCACCTTTAAGTTTTCATGGTTTGTGTCTTCATCAGTGTCAGTGAAGCCCACTACAGCCGGATCAATGACTGTGCTCTGACCTGTCAGTCATGTTTTTATCATCGGTGTAAAAAGCTAACAGCCAAAATCAATGTTCAGCTGACAGGAAACTTAATTCAGAGTTAACTCCAGTGTTTGACCTGCTGTTTGCACCACATAAAAGGTCAGATGGAGATAAGAGTCACAGGGATTCATCTTCTGTCTCACAATTCCTCAATCACTGATCCGTTTACCAGTTCTGAGTCATAGTTTGCTCCGATATATTAAAAAGCTACAAAAGCCAAAATTTGATTTCTTTAAATAAAAGTTTTAAACTTAGGTTTAAAATGAATTTGTATATTAAAATGGTGACCCCTTTCTGCAGCTCATTTTACCACTGCTTTCCAAAACAGGCCATAAGAAGTACTGATAAGTAGGGCTGGGCCATATTATACAGTTCACGGTAATACCGGTATAATGTTAGGCAACGATAGGAAAATGAAATATCGCGATAGAATATGAGTAAAACGCGCACGCGCAGTGCCTTTGTTTTCATACGCACATGGCCGATTGTTGAGTGAAACAGATGAACCAGAATTGGTTTGTAAAAATGGTGCAACTTCAGTGATGTGGAACTGGTTTGGTGTTTGTCCGTCAGATACACAACAAAGCACATTTTTTTGCAGAACATGCAAGCGGCCGTCGCTATTGTCGTATTTGTCGGACTAAGATGCTCTTAAATCTGGGAGTAATCTGGGTCCTAAACTCCGTAAACTTCAGGTCAAACGAACACTGCAGCATCACTGAGAGTTAAAAATTGTCTAAATTCTTTCATCTTTAATAAAACGATCAGCATTGCTGCTTTACCAGGTGAAACTATGAAGTTTAACTTCCAGGCATCCATGAAAACAAAATTTATTACATTTAACGGAGTTAGAAGTTAGCAGGAAGCTAGCGGACGTTAGCTCGCTAGTTTTGCTAGTTACCTAAGCATGATATTGCATGTTCTGACTGAGAGATTTCTGAAAAAATTCAAACGTACAGCTCTGCTATCACTTCCAACATAAATGAAAACAGGAAACTAAACAGCAGTGACGTTTGTAGGGTTACTGAAGTTGGGCTAGCTGGTATATAATGATGTGCTACGTGATCGCTAGCGACACAGCTATGTTAGCATAACATAAACAGTGAAGCTAGACGACGAACAGTAACACTTTTCCACTTATAAAAGTTAACGTGAAGGTTCCTCATGGTTGGAGACAAATGCAATCGCATGGCAGGATGCTGTAAACGGACCGAACTTCAGTCAGGAGAACAACTGAGATAATCCATCCACAATACAAGGTTAGTCATTAATATACTGCAAAAACATGGGAATAGAGCAGCTACCAGAGAATTCAACATTAATGAATCAGTACAGAAGTGGAGGAAGCAAGAAGAATGAGTTTAATAAAGTTTGATTTATCTGACTGCTTTGTTTTGCTTAATGTGCCTTATAATCCCGTGCACCTTATGGTCTGAAAAATGCGTACTGCACACTGCAGTTTAATGTTGCAAAGCACCTCTTTTTAACTTCAGTGGATATTATACATGGTTATGCTCAGGATATGTCAGCCCATTTCTACTGGAAATGCCTTTTGGTTAAACTTTCAGCAAGGAATTTGCATTTGCACTGTTACATTTTTATAAAGCTTTAATGTACATAAAAACCAGCTTCTTGTTTAAGTGAAAATAAATGGAAGGTTGTCTTTTTGCGCTAGTAATGTTGTGGAGTTGTATTTTGTCTCGCATCAATTCTATCGTCAGTTATATCGTTATCGCAAATTTTCAAATATATATCGTGATAAATATTTTTGGCCATATCGCCCTGCTCTACTGATAAGTATAAAAGAAGTGAAGGGAGGTTCTTGGAAGGGAAGTTTACAGTTTAATGCTGCTTTAGGCTTAGATTGCTGTCGGACTTCCCACAATGCACTGAGGACTTCTCCTTGTGCCATTTACATGACACTGTGCATGTTTTCTCTTTCATGTAGTTTGTTTTTTGTCCTTTTTTTGTTCTCCAAGATGTTTGCCCCTCCTTGAGCCTATTCCTGCAGGAGCTCCCTTCCTGCTTGAAGGGACTTTTTCCTCTCCACTGTCATTAAGTGCATGTCCAAAGGGGAACGCCTAATTGTTGGGGTTCCCCATCTAATATTGCAGGGTCTTTATCTAAGCACCTTGGAACAACTGTTGCTGTGAACTCGAGCTGTTTAAATAGGATTTGAATTAAACTGACGCTCGCATCCAAACACTTCTGAATAGAGTAAAATATGTTAAAATGTATCTCCCAGTGCTCCCAGAGGTATACAGATGTTTTAAATCTTAGAAAATGTGAGGACCTACATGAAGCAATCAGATGAAAGACTGCTAGCACCCTCAGGATGAACAAAAAGGTGGGGTTCAGTTGAGTTCTCAAGCAGGCAGTCCACCAAATCATCGAAAAAAACAACAAAAAAACAACAACAATATTTTCCTTCAATCACAAGTCTACCACTGAGGTCGTCATTGAAATAACATCGTCAGGTGGCTGAAAGCAGGTCCTGAGTGAAGCTCTGATTAGAGATCTTAGAAGGCAAAGAGGGAAGATTAGGGTGGAGGTGATCAAATCTTACCTGTTCAGTGATGAAGCCTGTTGAACCCTGATGACATGAAGAACCTCTCTCTCCTCACCTACGAAAGACACAAGAGTTGAGTTTGTTATTTCCTTTAGTTATACTTGGTAAACTTATTGATCAAAGCTTCGAACATAAATGCATATTTTTGGGTTCGATGGTTTAAACATTCAAAAACATTGCTGCTGTGTGAACGCGGCCCGGCGAATCACTCGTAGCTTTAAATCTGAACTCGCTAATTAACTCTCCCACGGAGTTCGACTTGAAACACACAAATTAACAAAATTGAAGCGATGAGGTTTACGCCACCATTTGATAGAAGGTTAATTATGCTCAGAAACAGCTGAAAAACAGGAGAAAGAAGCAGCCAGGAAGTAAACTTCAGAGGAGACGACACCCCCACACACCAACGCTGCTCATATACACACACATGCTAATTACGCCTAATGCAGGAATCACTCAGCCTCCAACTTTTTTGTGACTCAGCTCAATCAGACTTTAGTAGTCCATGTGATCTGGACCAAACTAATCAACCACCTACACTACCAATCAGCCACGAGTCAGAACACTTAACTCCACAGCCTGGCAGGGTGACCAAGCTCAGATTAACGCATTCTTCAGTACTTCACAGTTACCCCTGATTAAAGTGATTTCATGCCATTCATGACACGGCGCCCCGATCCCGGCTCTTAACATGCAGGAATTTCCATCGCACTTCACACAAAGGGGACTTTTAAAAAACGCTTAACATGAATCTCATAGAAAATGCATTAAATGCACCATTAGCTCAATTTAAAAGCTCAAAGGCAACAGAGTTGTTCATATAAGCCAAATGTCTGAAAAATATGGACGAGACAACTGAAACTCTACACACTAAAGTCCACGGAAAGACTCCATCTGATAATCTGTCCTTCAGAAAGAAAAGATTTGACTGATCAGAGTTATGAGTTATAAAGATGAACCTGTTTTTCCTTCTATGGACAAACAGTTCAGTTTTCTCAAGTTCTCTTCTGCACAAGCTTTTTTGGTGTCAGTGCCAATAAACAGAGTTTCTGACAATGTGTGCAGCATAAACGTTATAAAAACGGCACATTTTAACCGAAACCGCAATCTTTCACTGAATCTAACCAAAGGGTTTTATGCAGGACATGAAGCTCCCAAAGCAGCTCCCGATGAATCGGTGATTCCTCAAACGCTACCCCTCCTCCAGCCTCCCAGTGTGGACACCTGTGGCTTATCTGTGAAGCATCAGAGAGGATTTTTAAACCTCTACTTAGCCATGAAATGAAAATCTTTAGATTTGGAATATGCTCTGTGAGGTGTGCCGTGGGCAGAAATAAGCAGCGCCCCTGGAGCAAACAGCACACAGAAGAGGTTCACCTGGGTTCAGAAAGGAAACCTGTTGCCAGACCTGAGCTGTGGAGCACTCCGCCTGCTCCTCTGAGGTCTGCTGAGTCTGTGGACTTACTCCACTCTTAGTTCTGTAGTATTTTACCTCCAATGAGTGTAAATGTCATTTTTGTATTTTGTACATTTTGTTCTTTTATATTCTTTCATCCGCTGTCCCCTTTTTGAAAAGATTTTGCACCATCTTAGATCAGTTTTGTAAAGTGCTTTGTCTTGGAAAAGCACCGCATAAATAAATAAATATGGTTTGCTCCCTCTTGCTGTGAGGCAGCAGCGCCAACAACCGCGCCACGCAGCAGCCCGTTTGATTCCTGGAGATGAGAATGATTTGTAAATGCTGTAAAACGTTTTGTGTGCACATGCTGACATCAATAATCGGCTCTTCCCTTGAAGTGGATTACGTGACCCTTCTCTGTGTCGCTGAAGTTTAGGTGCCTGTCAGGTGTCCATCTGCGAGCAGCGTGCTTATGATCAGCATTTTTAACAATCTGCCAAATCAAACATGCGGAGCTACCCAGTGTGGCGACTCCTTGTGATTAAGGCGGCGTCTGAAAGATTTTGGATGCGTGTGAAGACTTCAATGAATCAAAGCAACAAGTCAAAGACATGGTAACATCTATTAATATCTACAGGTCTTAAAAAGTAGTGGTTAACGGCTACGATTTCAGTTAAGTCTGTTTTCAGTTCTTTTAAAAATAAAAAAAGATAATTCGTATTAGCTTTGATATTCCTCAGAGTGTACCCCTGGGAAGTTGTTGCTGGTGATTAGTGCCGATCCTATAAATACACACGATACAAACTCTGCTGGGTAAACATGCATCCAGCTGCCGAGTGTCAAACGATTAGCCTCTGTTTGACCTGCAGCCCAGCGATAAGTTATTTCCTCTAACATTCACACGCCCGACTTGGCTGTTTGTTCTGGAGGAAAAAACCCAGAGGGCCTGCTCAAATTTGCTGCATTGTTTAGCTGAAAGATGGCAGTTTAACGACTGAATTCCTCGTTAAATACGTTGCTTATTAATCCTTCATCTTGTGAGGCGTCATTGAAAATTTGGAGGCCTTCTGAAATCGGCTTGCCTGCGTCTCAGTTCAGGCGTTGCAGCTGGAAATTCTCCATCTAAACTTATAACTTTATAATAACTTTGGTTATCTTTCTACAAACATTTCCTTCTCTCCGTGGAGCACTGAGTGCTGAAATATAAATGAATGATTCTGTTAACTCTAACTGGAGGTCAAACCAGTGATTATTTTCATTATGGATTCATCTTCTAATTACTACCTTATAAAATCCACCAGGCCTTTAGTCTCAGGCTAAAGATATTTAAATTTAAGGTTTCATAAAAGACAAATAAGCAAAATCCTGACACCGTATGAGCTGGAAAAGAGAAAATAGTTACTGATTCATTTTCTCTTTCCTTTTGCTTTTTCGTTTTGCTCCTCTGCATTAGAGCACGGTGACTAAAAAGGCCAGATTCTTTAGGAGTATATCTGCTGGTGATCCCATTTGTTTAATGGAAAGAACTGAAGCTAAATTAAACTTTATTTGAAAGGAAATGCAAGATTTAGTTGAAAATGACAAAGAAAAAAGCGACTTAAAAAGATAAGAAAGCTGTCAGTTAATATTTTCTATTGCTTGATCCTCAGTCCATTCATAATGCATGACAGGAGATAATTTTAACGCTCTCAGGACTCTGATGTTGGAGGTGATCTGGACCTTTTCCCCATTTCATGCATGAAATAAAAAGCTGCTTTGATCAAATTTGAAAAAACACGCGCTTTAATGAAAGCTGAATCAAAGCGTTCCTGAATCCAATTCTGTCTTATCGTCAGTTTACCTGTATCGCTTTTATTTGAACTGCAGTGTGAGCAAGAAGTCAGAGTAGTTCCAGGTGGATACTGGAATCCATTGGGGGCTCCTTTTGTTACAGATTCATAACTTATTATGGAACGAATTTCAAGTCAAAGCAGACGTGCGTCTGACTCTGTAGTCTCAAGGTTGCATTTAGCATTTTGCAGGTGATGTGGTGCCTCTGGTTTCATGACTCTTTGCAGACTAGAGAAAAGCATATTGGGGTTTTGTTCATGAGATGGGGAAGGAGAAGTTAAAAGTCACAGCTCCTATTTCCCTGCCCTGATCTATGGCCACGAACTGAGAAAAAGAAGAAACAAGATAGCAGATTCCCTCAAAAGCCAAAAGCGACACCACAGCCGACGCGAGTCTCAATGAGAGCTGAAGCTACTGTTGACCAACTTATGAGTAGATAGTAGAGCTGGGCGATATGAGATTTTTTCATATCACGATATG